CTTCCAGGACTTATTGTCTCTACTTTGAGCTTGCTGTGCTAAGTGCTTCCTCCCTCTCAGCTTGGTTTTGTAATTGCTGACATTAATGTCTGCCTCTCTCACTAGCCCCAGTGGAAGTTCTTGCTTACCATTATGTCCGTAGTGCCTGGAACCGCTGGTGCTGGGTCACAGTGGGTGCTTCTGGAAGTATTTGTGGAATGAACAAATGACTATGAATGGAATAAACCAACATGCCAGTGCTAAAACTTAATGAAAACTGTAAGCCTCAGAGGATAGAGCGGCACAAAACCAGTAATTCTAAAGCTTTTTTTAGCCCAACAAACCATACCCAAAATTATGGGTATGAGAATCAAGAAAAAGTGAGGGACCTAGAATATAAATACTCTGTTTACAAAGATCTTGTTAAAAGGCCAACAAATCAAGGAGTTAAAAAAAGACACACAGAGGAGGTCGTTAGAATCAGATCTGCTCTCATGCTTTTAAACTTTAAGACAATTTTATAAATTCTGAAGGAGGATATGTGAGGATGGAGGGATAAGCATGACTTCTGGCTTCGGTGATAAGAATAGTTTCAAGCAAAGAGGTCCGTATGTAAGCAAGAGAATTTTTTCTTCCCATGTCTGATACTCAGCCAAGTGACTTCTTAGTTTGAAGCAGAAAGAAAACATTTAAAGAACTTAAGGACCTGAAGTAGCCTGTGAAAAAAGAATTATAATTACAGAAATGACTACAAAAATTAATGAAGAGCAGATATAAAAGAGGTTACCAACAAGGGTTAAATTAGTAGTAGGAAGGGATATCAGGGTCCTGTGAGTGGATAGATAGGAGGCCTACAGAGGTGTTCTAGCAGTTAAGATGAGCAGCCTGAAAATATTAGAAGGCACTAAGAAAACCTGTTTTTCCCCTGACTATAGAAGTTCCCTTATTAAAACTTTCAGAAATACAAAAGAATATAAGTAACAATTGCCCATAGTTTCAGCACCCAGGGAAAACCACTATAAGTGTGTTTTTCCTTTTAGCCAAATTTTGTCTGTCTGTTACTGTACAACTTAAAGTGTGAGAATTTTAATGTACAACTCAATGGGTTTTTGTAGTATTCATATAAACATGACTCAGCTCAAGATGTAGAACATTTCTATCATTCCAGAAGGCTCCCTTTGTGCCTCTTCCAGTCAATATCCGTAGATTCCTTTTGGCTGTTCTCAAACCTCATATACATGGAATCTTACAGTGTGAAGTCTGTTGAATCTGGCTCCTTTTATTCATCATCATCTCTGAGATTCATCCACATGTAATATTTGTTCTTTGTTTCTTTCCTTTTCTTTCTTTTCTTTTTTTTTTTTTTTTTTTTTTTTTTTTTTTTTTTTTTGCTGGACAGTTTTCTGTTGTATATACCACAAGCTATCTGTTGTGCTGTGATGAGCATTTGGACAGTTCCCACTGTGGGGCTATTATAAATACAACTGCTTTGAATGTTCTTATGGACTCAGTACACTTTAGTCCACATCTGAGAGCAGACTTACGGGGTCATAAATACTGATATCAATAATATTTTTTCCATTGGGGCTGTTTAGTTTTTCCAGAGGAAAGTTCTTTACTGTATTCTCTTCAGGGTCAATGCCAGGCTACCAGGCATCTTGTAATTAAAAAATAATAACAACTTTGAAACATACCATTCTTTCCCGTGTGTCTACTTTGTTTGAGGTCTTATCTTACAGGACCACTTTCTGAAAGCATAGTTGCTGGTCTTCTCATTGTATGTCTGAATGCTAATCCTGGGACTTGGAGCTTGTCTGGAATGGGATCCCCACATTGCAGTGTTCAGTGCAGTCTATTAATGAATCTTGGCTGCTGCTTGATTTGAGCTTATTTGAGGCCCTAACTTATCTTTAATAGTACAACTTCCAGTTTACATTTGACCCTTGGTGTAACACCCTCTGGTATAGTAGGGTGTGTATTTCACCTGAGCAAATTTATAAAGGGAAAATGTTTATGGTGCAGAGTTCAGTATCATACCTTAAATTGAAAGCTCATTTGTGTTTTGATTATATTAAGTGTTTTGCACTAGACTGTATCAGTGTTAGGTAGCCTTTGTTTTGTTTTTGCTTTGGTTGGCTTCTGTACAAACTTGGGATTCCCAATTGATTAAGCAAAGTCGTGCTTTTCAAATGCCAGCCCCACGATCTTTGATCTCAGCACAGATGCTGTTTCTGTGGCTTTCCCTTTTACTGGAATTTTTTTAACTTGAAGGAAAATGAAGATAGATGCAGATTTTTATCCCTTTAAGATGACTGTGTGTCTTTAGAACACAGGGACAGAAGGAGGGGGCACGGTAGCTGGAGTGCCTGCGTGGTGTATGCTCTTTATAAGTGCCTCTTGGGATTTCCCCCCTAGACATGAAGTGATTCCTCAGGTAGAAGGAGAAAGGTACATCCCAGAAATGAGGGGGAAACATGATGGAGGGAGGAGAGAGGACACATACATTATTGAGGGTTCCAGGAAGAGAACAGCATGGGGATAATGGGGATAGATGTAAGTAGATAGATCAAGATGAGTCATGAAACATTGAAGTCTGAAGCTGTAATAGTTTTATACGCTTTGTTCTTTTTTCCTTCTCACGGGTCGCTGTTCTCAGAACAATGTCTGCAGACTTTGGTCCAGACTTTGCTAGAGTGAGAATGATCATTACTACAGGGTCTTGTTGGACTAATCAAGATAAAATACTGTTTCAATGGGATTAGGCCCTTTGACAGGAGACCCCACTCCCCATATACTGAATTTCTGGAAAGCTTAGTTACGATGACTGTGTTCTTCTGTGACTTAAAAAGTAAATAATGGAATAGCCATTGGGGGGAAAGGGTCAATGAGACTGAGTTCTATTGCAAACAAGCGCTCACTAGGTTTTCCACAGCCTTCTTGGTAGAAGTCTTTGCATTAGGATAAGGCGAAAGCCATTCCCAGGTCAGAGTGTGATGTCATGTTGGCAGAGAGCAGAGAAGGGAAAGAACTCTAGTTTTTTTCTGAATCCCTGTTAGGCCCCTGGAAAAATAAGAGCCTCTAAAATGAGGGACAGAATGCAGATGTCAAAATAGAGACTCTGGAGCCATTCTGCTTCCATATTATGAAGTTTGAATTTATAATCACCTTCTTCAAGTGACACACTCACCTCCTGCTGGGTTTAAGCCCCTGCTCCTATCTAGCTGTCTGTTTACCACTTTTCTAAAAATTACTCTCCTTATGTCTTCCTTGTTAGCCAGTTGCCCAAGGCATAGGTTTGAGCCTCACTTATCTCCATACCTCACTACTTAGCACAGTGCCAGGCGGTCAGCACTGTATAACTGTACGCGTGCTTGAATGTTGCTCAGAGGAGTTCATTAGCCTACTATACTATTGGTTCCTAGACCTGGAAGTTTTGTAGAGGTCTAAAAGGTTAGGGTAGGTTTCAGCCTGTTTTCTTTATAAACTGTTACAAAGTCATCTGGAATCCCATTTCTTTTTTCTCTTGCTCTGCTTTTCTGAAGTGCCTGCTTCACCTTAAGGCTGGCTTCCTCAAGGCTCAGAAGCCCTGTCCTTGCCAGACTTAGTGTGTGCCGGAGTTCAGGGAAAAGAGAGGCTGGGAGTGTGTTCGGAGAGTGCCAAGCTCTTAATTTTCAAACCACTTCAGAACCGATCCCAGCGGCCGAGGGATGCCATGTGTGACTGGCTTAGTCCTGGATTCCTTGAACCAATCTTGATCACAAAGGGGAAAGGGTGACCTGGACTGGGTTAGGTAGCCCTGGTCTCACCCTGGAGCTGGTACGGAGGCAAGAATGGATGGATACCTGACTGGAAATGTGACCACTATTGTGTAGGGGGATGTGATTGTGTGGGATTCATCCTGCCACTGTTGGACCTGCCAAGTCTACTGTTACTTGAATCCGGATTTTCTAGGGAACGTTTATAGTTATTTTGTTCTTTACATATGTGTAAAGTCTCTTACAAATTTATCGATTGTATGTTATGGAGAACAAGTAGTGAAATTATTAAATTTTGAGTATGAGAGTCTTCCTTCTGTTAACTTTTTAATTGGGGATAGAAGACCTCTGAATAGGTAAAAAGTTAAATATCAGTATTGCAGGTGGGTAACAGTGCAAGACAGTAAGATGACAGATAGCACGTTCATCCAGAATATGTACTTTGCATTCCCCAGTGATACTTTTAATCTGAAGTCCTTGGAATGTCAGGCACTGCAAGGGTTGCAGGGTTGATGGAGAGGAGATACGGCCCACCAGACTTCAAGCCCAGTCATGAGAATGGTTAACGAGCGTTTGGGGGCTGGGAAGCAATGGCCTGTCTCACAGAAGCAAACCACCAAGAACAGGAACCTATACACACAAATGTGGGGGTTCCTGGTGAGCCCTCCAGGGTCCTGGGAGCCTGGGTGGTCTGAGGAGATGCTCAGCATCCTGTGTGGAGAGCTCTGCCCTCAGTCCAGTGAAGCCTGGACACACTGTTCAACTGCTGAGAGCTGTGGGTCTTTGGTGGGTCATTGCCGAAGTGCTTCTTGTTAGAGGATCCAGTGTGGCCCAGCCCTGGTTGGGCTGGTTCAGCCTCCACTGGTCTGACTCAAGATTAGTGCCCTTAGACTTTCTGCCTTCTTCCTAGAGCTATGTATGCAGCCACATTTGTGGACATTTGAGAGAATGAAAAAAAAAAAATCCTATTCTTGTACCAGGCATCATGCTAAGCTCCAGGGTCATAGTGATGATCCAAAGGTGACCTGATCCCTGCTGTCACAGCCTATGCCTAGTGAGGAAGGCAGGCAGAAGGCATATAACCAGGTACATAAGCTAATTAGTCAATTGTGGGAATGGTGAGAAAGAAACAATGGGCAAAACTGAAGGTTTACAAGAGGTTTGAGATCCTTTAAGGGATTTTGTAAATTTATTCTTGGGTTGAAGTTTTTTTCCTAATGATTTCCATGGATTAGATAAGAATAATTTTCATTGTTTGTCTCTTAGGTACATTCTGCAGGTCCCCGATGAACCCAGGGAACCCTCCACCGTATCCGGGCCCTGGTCCGACGGCCCCGTACCCACCTTATCCACAACAACCAATGGGACCAGAGGGCTACCCTCCAGGACCTATGGGGGGACCCTACCCACCTCCTCAGGGTTACCCCTACCAAGGATACCCACAGTATGGCTGGCAGGGCGGACCTCAGGAGCCTCCTAAAACCACAGGTACTGGGAGTTGGGTATGTGTATATGTGTATGTGGGTGTGCATGTGCACAGTCTCATGTCATCAAAGGAAATGTTTGCATGTTTTCTTTGGCAGAGAAGGCACGCTAGCCTTTGTGTGCTGTGGTTGACGTTCCCAAGGCTTGGTGACCGCTTAAGGTAGCTTCTAACTCCTGAGAAGGACTTCTTTCTCAGGAGGCCTGCATCCGTTCTTTCTACTTCCTCTATGTCTCTTATCCCTCTGGGGCTGATGACTTCCTGGTCGATGTGTTTTCTGATGGCCCCTTTTGGGGTACCGGTGGGGGAAAGGACTCATTGGGTTCTTGCCCTGACACCCAGTTTCGTATTTTAGATTTGGCCTGCTGGGATTATTTTCTCTCTTGGTTTGTTGACCTCCAAGTCATCCTCTTGTCCCTACTCTTGGGTTGATGTTCTTTGCTTAAATGTTTTCATAATTCTCTTGAACTTGCTAGCTGAGTTTTCAGCAGGCCTATGAGTCCTTCTTGTGCGCTAGAACAGTGCTACTCAAAGCTGACTCTGCAGATAAGTGCCAGTCTGTGAATGTGATAAGTACAGAAAGTACGAGTAAACAGAAGAACTTGTAGAGTAATTTGACATTGCTGTGACATTCAAGCAGGTGATCTTGCATTTTACAATACGTCTCAATCTGTGGTGGATTAGAATGGACACGTCTTGAGAAGCACTGTGCTAGATGTCTTGGTGACTGTCAGAACTGTTGTATGACCTTCTGGTTTGCTCGTTTACAGTGCCTTCAGTTTTTTAGATTAGCTAATTCTTAATGAGTGCTTGTGTGCCAAGTGGTCTCTTAAGAGCTTTATGTACATTAACATTTAATTCTTGGAACAATCTTATGAGGTTGTTCCCATTTTACAGTGAAGCCATTGAGTCACAGAGTGGCATACGGACTTGGCCAGCTAGAAGGGGCAGATTCCAGATTCGAATCCTGATGGTTTGGCTTTGGAATCTGTGCCTATAACTTTTTTCTCCAGCTGGATGATTTTAGATTTATCTATAACTGCAGGTACATCCTTCAGCTGAAGTGAAAGTGTGTAGTCCATTCTGTCAACAGCTTCTGTGTAGAAACTGTTTCTGATTCAAAGGAGGGAGGTCTTCTTAGTTATTCTTAATCTGTGTCTGGTAATCAGTAAGGACTTAATAAAGGTGTGTTGAATGGGTAGGTAGCTGGGTAGATAGCTAAGCAGAATCTAAGTCTGTTTATGGTTCAGAATTTTGTTTTTTGTTTTTTGTTTGTTTTACAGTAGAAATTGTAGTAAAAATATCTTTTGTTTTTCTTTGTTGGGAAACCAGTTTTTTGAAAACCATGTGATTGGAGGTGACAGGTGCTTGTGGGAATGAGGCTTACCAAGGAGTATACTTGCAATACATTTGGGGTCTCCTGGGATGATATTTAATGGTAATAACTGTAACAACTAGTATTTCTGAAGCCTAGTACCTAGTACTGGCCTCATGTAACTTTCACAAGAGCCCTATAGCTTTGGTCCCATGTTACAGAGGTAGAATCTGAGGCTTGGAGAGGTTGTGTGTCAGTTATCCCTCATATAACATACCACCCCAAAACTCAGTGGCTTAAAACAACAATGACTTATTCTCATGATTCTGTGAGTTGGCTTCCTATGATCTCTCCTGGGGTCACTTAATTCAGCTGTCAGCCTGGTTGGGGCTGGTATGTCCCAGGCTGGCTTGTTTGCATGGTGGTTAGCTTCTAAGGGGGTGAGTGTACGATCTTGCCAGCCTTTTCATGTCTAGGCCCAGAAGTGGTCCACCATCACTTACCCATATTCTTTTGTTCAAAGCAAGTCACAAGGCTGGCTGGATTCGATAGGAGGGGAAATAGATGTCATCGATACCCTGCCCCCCCCCCCCCCCCGATTTGGTAACAACTTTATTGAGAGATATAGTCGGGAGTTGTATGACCATCACCGCTAATTCCAGAACATTTCATCACCCCAAAGAAAGCCATATCCTTTAGCAATCACTCCCGTTTCCTTAACCTTCCCCCTCCATACATCTCTTTTATCTCTGTAGATTTGTCTCTTCTGGACATTTCTTATAAAATGAATCCTATAATATGGCCTTTTTTGACTGGCTCTTTCACTTAGTGTAACGTGTTAAAGGCTTCTCCGCTTGTGTCAGTACTCCATTCTTTGTGTTGCCAAATAACACCCCATTGTATGGATATATCACATTTTCTTTATCCATTCATGCTTGGGTTTCTACTTTTTGTGATGAATAGTAAGTCATGGCTATTATAAACATTCATGTAAATTAAACTCTGTCTCAGGAGGGACAGCATGTGAATGTAGAGCAGGAGGAATTGTTGGTGACCATCTTGGCAGACGGTTTACCGCTTTCCACCCTGTACCCAGCAGTTTACGTCTTCCCCAGCCCTCCCCATGCACAAAATACATCCATCCCTTCCAAGACCAGCAGGTGGCTCATCAGTCATTACATCCACTTCAAGTCAAGGGTGTCATCATCTGCTATCTGTAAGTAGACGGGGCCTCTCACCTGCCACGCTGCTCCTGTGACTGCCCACCCTGCATTTCTGCTCTGCCCCACCCTGCACACCTCAGAGGTGAAACAAAATGTCACTCCTCTATGAAGCTTCCCCTTCGGTATCCCACCTCTATGGTAGAAGTAACCAATCCCATGTGCTTCAGCTGCAGCCTATACAGACTTCTTTCAGAGCACCTCCTCTCTGAATTAAGTTAATTATTGTGTTCTTCTAGTTTACGTCCTTAATGTCTGAATTCAGTCAACTTAGCTGGTGCCGTCTTAGTGCAGGCTTTCAGCATTTGTGTTACGTTTCACCAAGGTTCTTAAGACTGCAAGTGACAGCATCTCAGCCTTAAAAATTAACCAACAGTAGAGCGTTGCCAGAGACCTGAGTAGAGGCTGCAAAATGACAGATAGTGACCAACACAGACACAAAAAAGGGACTCTGAGAGGACAGGGATGACACAAGGAACAAAAAACCTGTGAGAAAAAGGGGGGAAAATATCTCTAATAGCCTTAGATATGTGGGAAGATAAATCTTAATGAAATAAGAGTAGGGATGCTATATAAAAAGGAACTCAGGAAACAAAAGCATTTAGCCAAGAAGACTGTGAAACCAACCTCAGCCCAAGGAATAGGTCCAAAAGACTCATTCAGATAGCTAGATCTTGCCAAACCAGAATTGAAGGCTTTTTGCCACAGGTGCAAGGTTGACATAGTGCTATGTAACAACCACCCCAAGTTAGAGATTCTGTAATTTGGAAAGGGCTTGGGTGGAAATCCCTGCTCCCCATGGCATCTCCTGGGGCTGGAACATAGATGATAATCGAGGCCCTTGGTTGGCTATGAGATTTATGAACTCTCCTCTTGGCTCTATACAGCATGCCTAAAGGGGTGCTCTTGGGTTGGCTTGCATCTGCAGTACAGAGAAGCCGTGTGGTTTTGTAGAAGCTTCAGAAGGGAGAGGGTTGTGGGAGCGTGATGGCAATCTGACTGCAGTCAGAGGGGGAGTCAGAAGATACCCACACTTAGACGCTACTATCTTTACGTGTGTTCCTAACCAGTGCACTTCTTCACTCCTATGGGCTTTGTTTCACACTCTTATTTCCCTTGAAAGTTTCATTTAAGTTCAGCCATATTCTGTCAACTGTTGCTGTTTTGGTGAAATCTTGTACTTCCGGTTCCTTATAACAAATAATTGCTCTTCCAAATACCAAAAAAACCCCACAGAACCCCGCATCTGATGTCTCTCTTTCCCTCTTCTCCTCCACTTGGCCCCTCAGTGGGACTAAGTTGGGCATCCTGACAACACAGTGGCCTCAGGAAGTAGGACTCCTTCAGTGTCCGTGGGCAAAAAAAGAAAAAAAGGAAACAGACTTTAGTTAATTTCTAGTTTTGAAACAGTTGCGGACTTAAAAAATAGGATGCAGAAATAGTACAAATGATTTCACCCAGATTTCCCCAAACCTTACATCACTACCATGTAACGATCCGTCCCAGGCCCGGAAGACTCACAACAGCACTTGGATCCCGCTCCATGGCCCAAGCAGCCGTGGGTCTGTGTAGGTGGGATTCAAGGGGGGCGAGACAGAGTTCAGTGCTTGGGAGGACAGTGGCAAAGCCACACTGCAGAATGGCATATGTGTTGGGGGACCTTTGCAAGCCCTACAGCAAGTCCCAGTGGTGATAGGTAGACTCCTGTTCAGTGAGGCAGTCTAACTAACAAAACTGCTGGTAGGCTCTTGTTGACCGTGCCATAGTTACAGAATTGTTCAAAGTGAAAATTTAAACAAAACAATATCTCCAGTCTTAGAAAATCGATTTAAGGAAGATTTCTGTGAATTGGTGAGAAAGTCATGAAAGAAGACATTTTAAAATGCTGCCACCAAAATCAAAATGACACCCCCTCAGATACCTCCTCAGGTGCTCGCCCGGTTACTCACCTTCCAAGCTCATGGCAGACCTTGGAGTCTCATGTGGTCCTTTCTGCTTAGCCCTAATGTGACCTCACAATCCTCCTTACCACGGTGTCCTAGGCAGTGGCTGTGAATAGGCTTGAATCCAGTTGAATTGGATGAGATGAAGCCTCTTAACCATTCCTTGTGAGCTAACCTCCTCCTTTTAGAGAGATTTAAACCAAAGCCCAGAGAGGTTTAGTGACTTCCCCAGGGTCAGCGAGTTCAAGAAGGATGTAGTCGTGATTCCAAGCTAAGTGCTTTTCCTCATTTCATCCTAGTGCTATGGGCCCGCATGTTCCACAGCAGTTCTCAGACTCCCACGTCAGAAAATACCTACCTTTGCAGCCCATTCCATACTCCCCCACTGCCACCCCACCCCACCCCCAGCCACCACAAACAAACACAAAAACCTGGTGGTTTAGGGCAGGGCACCAGATTCCTAGTAGTAGGCGGAGACAAAGTGGATTATGATTAATCTGGATTCAGATCCCCTTATTAACACCAGG